TATGAAACCCAAATTGTTACAAAATGTTTACAAAAAACTATATTCATAGAAATTCTGCATGTCCACAAAGGGCATCCCCTGAATGGCCCAGAGACCAGTGTGTGGGAACCGTGTCGCATGGGAGCGGGGGGCGTCCAGGCACTCTGGTCTGGGTGGTGGGACAGGCCAGGGGTCTCGCATGGTGCTGGCTGGGGGCTCAGCCCAAGGGCTGGGAACCCACGTTCCCATCATGGGAGGCCCAGCCAGGCAGAGATGGGATGGGGGTTTGGAGCACAGTGACAGGCCCTCCGCAGGGGGCTGGGTTCAGATGTGCTCTGTCCAGGGCCCCTGGGGCAGACCCAGAGTTAAGTGCAGACCAGCCTGACCCATGGGGCCAAAGCAGAGGGCAGGCCGCTGCCCACAGCCCACTCCAGGCCTCTCTCTCCTGCATGCTTCAGAGATGCTCTGACCCATGACAGGGCAGGACCACTAGCTAAGGGATCAGATGGCAAAGCACAGACAGATCTGGAAGGGGCAGATGCTGCGGGGAGAGAAGGCAGACAGATGGCATGGGCTGTGCCAGGACAGGAAGTACCTCGTCGGTTTCTCATCTTTCGCCCATGTCACTGTCCTGCTCACATCTCTGGCCCCCCAGTCTCACTGACAGCTGGCCTCTGGGTCAAATGGAGCTGGGGAGGCTGTCTGCGGTGGGACAGACACTGAACTGGCATCACGGGCCCACAGCTGCTTCCCTGCACCTGGCAGCCTCGGAGTTTTGATCCGTCAAGTAGAGACACACTGGGGTGACTTGAGGTCTGTTCTAGAAAGCAGGGAATGAAGGCAGGGTCAGGGTCAGTAACTAGGGCACTGGGACATCATACTGGCATGCTGGCAATGTCCTCGGGGCCACTGTCTTGAAATAAAAAGTGTTTTCCTGACTGTGAGTGGTGCCCTCGCGTGTGAGCGTCTGCAGCGGGGGCCTTCCCACCACGACCCTCCAGCCCTTGTAGGGTGTATTCCAGGCGGGAGCTGACATCTGCCTGACAACCGTGCAGACAGGTACCGAGAGGGTCTCAGGAGCCGAGTACTGGCAAGACATTGCTCCCAAGTCACGGGCCCTGCTGTCCTGCTGCAGACACTCTCAGATGGAGACAAGGCGCCTCCGCCTCTCCTGTCCCTCCCGAGGAGGCGCCTGCTGTACAAGCCCATCCACCAGCCTCCAGGGTTCTGCCCCTTCCTCGGGGTCTGCAGCTCTGGTGGATGCGGGGCTGTCCCCATCCCCGCAGGGCTCTCTGCAGCCCCCGCTCCAGGGGGCTTCTGTCCCAGACTTCGCTGCTGTAGCCCCCCTCTCTCACCTGGTCCCCACCCATACTGGCTGGGTTATGTACAGTCTGTGTGCAGACGTGCGGGGAGGGGTGCGTATACACATAGGCTACAGGTCATATATACACTGTGCATATATATATGTATATATATATACAGCATATATATAGATATCTTTTTACATTCATATATATATTGTACAGAACATTCACCTTCTACCAAAAACAGTTTTGTGACTTCACGTATGGCCTCAAGCTCTGAAATTTTAACTCCAGGGCAAATGCAGGACTGAAATGAAAGCTTGGTTCAAACCGGCATGGGGACAGAGGGCAGGGCCCTCCACCGTGGCAAGCAGCTGGGCCCATTCCAGATGTGTCCACCCACCTTGGGAGACTGTTCCAGATGTCCTTTCCAGAGACCTGTCTACAGAGTTGGGCTCTTTTTCTGCATCTGTCTAGGGGGCTGGGCCAGTCCCAGATGTTAAGTCCATACAGCTGTTTGACCAGAGCTGGGCTCTTCCCAGATGGCGCTCCACACAGGACCATTCCAGATGCAGGCCAGAGTTCGGTCTGTTCCCAGATGTTTGTGCATATAGCTGGGGATGGCTCGGGGAGGGATCTGCTTCATGCTGAGCGATGAAGAAACAGCTGCAGACCCCCACACAGCACCCCCTGGGAAAGAAGGCAGGGAGGGAGCTCTGGCTGCCCTGTCTGACATCGCCTCTAAGAGCTTAAGGAGGGGGAGTGACTTCTAGCCATCCGGAGTCTTCACCTACCACTGCCGGACCCCTGCCGCTGCCCGGGAGGGAGCCAGGGTGCTCCTCTAGTTGAGGCAGAGTCTTGGCTGTGACAGGGGGTCACAGGTGAGGGGAGATAAGGAGGGCTTAATGTCCAAAGCCCAAGGGCCTTGGTGGGGTGTGTGTCTCCTCACTGCTGCCCCTCAGTTGGGCCAACGTGAGCAGGTTGAGAGGAGGCATCGATGATGTGAGGAGGGAGGTGGGGGTGGGAGGTGGGGGCACTCTTCTGTTCGGGGCCAGCATGTGGGGTCAGACAGGGACAGTCTAGATAGAACCTGCTCAGGTCTCACTTTTTGCTCCATGCAAACCTGCTTTTCCATTCTCCACCACACCCAGCCCCGACTTCGGTGCCTCTGTGCATGCGCCCGTGTGCCTGCGTGCCCGCGTGCCCACGCTGTAGCTCAGTCCACACCCCTGCAGGTTGGCCTAACTCTGATTCCACATGATCCGCTTGCTGGGGGCACCTGCTCCCACCCCACCCTTCACGATGTAGCAGAACCTTCATTTAGTACCTGGAGAGACACAGGGCACACTTGGGCAGAGTGGTTTCCACCGCACTGTGAGCCTTGGGCTGGTCTCGAAGACAAACACAGGACATCAGCCAGAAGCTGAACATTAGCCACACATCGGACAAAAGGCTCGAATGGAAGGGAAGGTCAGGCAGCGTGTCACCCCATTTTCGTTTTGGAGCCTCCCAAATAATTTCAGTACCTTTGGGGGGCTTCTCTCACTGTATTGCCCCTCTGATACCCACCACCCTTCATTCCTTTGGCGAAGTCTTCCTACCCCAGGCCCCTTCCTTTTCCTTCTCTCATCACAGTCTGTCTATGTGCATAGCCTCAGAGCATGACATGTTCATGGAGTGTTATACACAGGAGCATACACAGGCACGTGTGCGTGTGTGTGACATGAGCATGGATGTGGGCGTGTGCTAAGAAATTACATTGGATGAAGAAAGACAGTGGTTAATATGAGCAAATGGACAAATACTTTCATTAGAATCCTGTTACCTGGAAATTGCAACAATATGCCATTTCCCCTTGAAACAGGGCACTCTGCCTAGAGCAAAGGAGTCGCCAGCCGCGAGTCCCTGAAGTGCTTTGCCCCTACTCGGCCAGTCCCCCGGGGCCTAGGCCCAGACAACCTCGTCAAGTCTTTGTGACGAAAGCTCTCTCCCCGTGACAGAAGTGCAAACACACCCTGGTTCCCTGCCTTCCTGATTATCCATCTCTGCTCCTGCAGTGAGCTGGCACATGTGTGCCTTTGAACACGTGTGTGAGCACACAGATACGCACTCACAAACTCCAGTTCCACATGGCTTGTCACATACGACATGCACTGACCTTGCTGCATGTCTGTCTGGCTCTGTCCTCTCTCCCGCTCTAAGCTGCACACAGGAGCCCACACACACCTGTGCACATGCTCACACGTGGATCCCTTGATGACATGGCTTCTCCTTTAATACATTTGGCAATGCTGCAGGTTTTATCCTGTCCTCTGCTCTCTGCCATTTGGTGCACAAATGCACATGTGTGCACATGTGTGTGCACATGCACACACACACACACAATTGTGCATGCATATATATATTCTCACCAGAACCCCATTACGACATGGCTTCTCCTGTTTTTACATGTATGGGGCTCTGCTGCTTGTCCCGAATTGTCTCCCTCATCCCCAATTCATACACATGCATACGCGTGTACACACACATCAGAACCCAAAGGATTCTCCTATTATTGCATGCCCTGGACTCTGTGTATGTCCAAATCTGTCCTTCTTCCCCAGCCCCCAAAACTCACACATGCAAAGACACAGATACACATCTATGCGCACATACTCCTGCACCCAGAAGCTCACGATAGCATGGCTTTTCCTATCATCATGTGTCAGCTGCTGCATGTCCGGCCTCTCCTCCCACCTCCAGCACCCACAGCCTGTCGGAACAGCTCTGCTTTGCCCCTGCAGCTCAGTTTGCAGGAGGGACAGTATACTTATTACATGAGCCCGCTGTGCTCTCCTGCTTTGGAAGTCCCTGGGGGAGCTAGAGATTACCCTTCACCCCAGCTGAGAAGGTCCTTGAGACCTAAATGTAGCTCTTCCCTAACCAGGCTCCTCAAGCAGAAACAGGAGAGAGGGGGGAGGGGGTGGCTGGTGCCGCGGGGCCCTCTCCAGTCCTCGTCTCCTGCTCCAAGACTGCCCTCTGAAGCCTGCTGGCCCCATCACATTCTCTGTAAGGACACTTTGCTCCTAAACCTTCCATGCCTCATTCTTTTCCCAGACTCTTAAAGTCACAGACCTCTCAAACATCCATTGCATCGAGCTGGAACTACAGATCATCTGGTCTCTCTCTCACTGGTACTCCATCTGCTACTACTTCTCTGCTGAACCTCAAGCCCCACAAGGTCCTCGCTGCTCCGAACGAGAGACCAGGGGCTGGAATGGCCTTGTGTCTCCGTACAGGGTCTTTGGTTAATTCTCCAGGAGGCAGCTTCTCTCTTCCCACCTTTGGGGGCTACCAGCCATGATATCCTGCCCCTAAAAGCTTTCTATTTTGGGGGGTATATTTAGGACTGGCAAGTCCAGAGGCTGGGAGTTTTTCAGGGTCCCTCTAGTTTTCCCCATCTACCCCAAAGTTAGCCTGTGCAGTAGGACCTGCACCCCTCTTTTGAGGAGGGGTGACTTGACTTTCACTTGAATCTAGGCTATTCTTCTTCCAAGATGACAGAAGGATCTCAAGGCCAACTGGCCAGGAATGGGGAGTTGCTGATGAGTGGACGGCAAGGAGCCCACGCTCCCTAACACCATCAGGGTTTTCAAAACAGCTTGGTAACCGCAAAGTAAGATCCAATGACTTGAAGGCCTGTGGGATCTCCATGGAATCCACTGTTCCTTTGGGCTTCAAATATTGGCTGAGTCTCTGGGCATCCTTTCTGAGAGATTCAGGGGGTCCCCTCTCCTCTGGCCAGAAAGTGAAGAATTTGCTCCAACCCCTCCCCCACTCTTATAGAGAAGTGGGGGCCATTGGGCACTGTCCAGAAGAATTCAACATGGCGGCCTCTGTGCGTCCTCCTCTCTCCCAGACCCCGAATCCTCTTTCCCCTGTGGGGCTCTCTGCCTTCACTTCTGCCCAAACAGGGGCTGCCATGGGTGGTGCCAGTCCAGGAGTTCAGAAGCACATGAGCAGCGCCTGGGGAATGAAGTCTTCCCTCTGCCCAGGCATGGGGGTTGCCATCCTCCTCTTCAGCTCCCACTGGCAGCCAAACAAGAACATCCTGGGGTGCCCAGGGTTTGTGTCTCTGGTCTCCTAATCAAGCCCCAGGAGACCTGGGCTGATGGGGAAGGAGAGGCAATAAAGAGTTGTTGCCTATTTTCTTTGGCCTCTGCAGGGCCATCGTAGAAACTTCTGACGGTAGAGAAAAGTCGCAGGGCAGGTGAGTTTGGCCTGAGAGAGGCATGTGCTTCCTTTGGCCTTGGCTGTCTCGGCTGGCAGCTTTAGGAACCCATAGAAGGGACGAGAAGAAAGTGAAGCCCAAGCAGCTGACCTGGGAGTCTGCTGGTTTCCCGGTAGGTAAGGGCAGAGGCCCCCGGCCCAAGAGGCAGGCAGCAGCTCTGGTCCCCAAGCCTAGTGTGTGGACAGGGGACGCTCCTTCCAGCCTCCTTTGCTTTCCTCCGCCCTGCCCCCAGGCCTGCGGTCCCCACCCTACCAGTGCTTAGGGGAACACGGGGGCCAGTGATGTGCTGCAGGTCATGCTGTCCTTGCCCGGAAGCCGGCGGTCATTGAACGTGTGCATGTTGATGACAGCGTCAGTCTTGACCATCATGGGAGGCTGTGGCTTGTGCTTGACTCGACGCTGGCAGGTGAGGGAGAAACGGATCTCATCGGCCACGGTGCTGCAGAAGGAACGCTGGGGTGGGAGGGAGGGAAAGGTCAGGTGGGTGAGGCCTGGCCCTGCAGTTCCAGCCAACTCCTGCCCTTCCTCCTGAGCCTGTGCTAAGGCCAAGGCCACCAGGTCTCTCTCACCCCTCCATCCTACCCACCCTCCGCCCCCTGCAAGATGTCCAGTTTGTGTAGCAGCCTACAGAGCATCGTGTGCTTGTTTGGACACTAAGGTAGTAGGGCAGGTAGTATTATCTTATTCCCATTTTACAGATGAACACACCGAGGCTCTGATGGGCATATACATTACAGTTGGAGATTTTCACCTAACTTGTCTATACTAGATTCTGAGAGCAAGAACCAGTTTCCTTCCCCTGAGCCCAGCCCCCAACGCTAGTCCTGGCTCAAGAAACACGTGATTAATGTGTGAAGGGCTTCCAGCTAAGGGGAGAGTCCCTGTGCTCCCACTCAGAAGAGTCCAACCTGTGTTTCTCAAGGTGGGCACCTGGGACGTAGGCTCCTGCAGGGCAGTTGAGTGGCCGTGGCCTCCTCTGGCCTAAGTCCCTGTGAGTACCAGAGATGAACCCAAAGTGCAGCATCACCTGCAGGTATGTGATGGCAGAGGTTGCCTGCAGCTTGTCTGGAAGGCATTAGGGACCACTGATGCCTCAACTTACCCAGTGAGGCCAGGGCATCAGCACCCGGACAGCTTGTGCTCAGGTTGTGTGGTGCAGGGGGATGGGACCTGCTCTGAGTGCTGACTCTGCCTCTTACCAGCTGTGTGACCTCCAAGCTTCCCCTTGTTCACCCACTAAACACAGAGCATCATCCCTCACCTCCCTTTCTTCACTCTGAACATATGTATTGAGCCCTTACTATGTGCCAGGCACATTTGGCATCCAGCAGTGAAAATGACAGGCAAGGCCCCAGCCTCGGGGAGCTTACGGTCTAATGATGGACTAGAAACAGAGAATAAATATGTAAACGAATAATTTCAGAGAGTGATAACTATTATTAAGAATAAAGCAATGACCTCTGGCAGGTGGCTCAGTTGGTTGGAGCGTCATCCCATGCACCAAAAGGTTGTGGGTTTGATTCCTGGTCAGAGCACATAGCCAGTTTGTGGGTTCAATATCCCGTCGGGGCATGTATGGGGGGCAACCAATCAATGTTTCTCTCTCTCATTGATGTTTCTTTCTCTCTCTCTCCCTTCCCCTCTCTCTAAAAATCAATAAAAACATATCTTCTGGTGAGGATTAAAACAAGAAACAAACAAAAAAAGGACAAAGCAATGAAATGGGATAGAAAGGGGTTGGGAGTAGGAACAGGAGGGAAGGCTACTTGAGAGATGACGTTCGAGCTGAAACCGAATGAGCAGAAGATACCAAGAAGTCCTTTAGTTAAGGACTAAACAGGTGGCCAGTGTGTATGGAGCAGAGAAGGGGGGTGGGAAGGAGGGAGTCAGAGAGGTGGGCAAGGACCAGATCCTCTAGGCTTGTTGTGGAATTTGGAATTTATTCCAATGATAATGGAAATTCCTAAGGAGTTTTTTTTTTTTTTTTTAATGTACTGTAGTTTTTTTTTTTTTTTTTTTAGCCATTCCTGATTATTGGACACTTAGGATTTTTCCTGATTTTTCTTTTTTAATACGATAGTTAACATTTCAATGAATATTTTTGTAAATGAAACCACACATATCCTTGGACACTTCCATCGGGTGCATTGCTGACTCAGGCTTGCTGGGTATCAAGGGCTCCATTTCATTTCTGATGGATGTAAAGGTTGCCTGTTTCCAATGGGCCCCTGTACACACGACTTAACTACAGTGTCCTTCCGCGCGGCCCTGGATCGCTGGAGCTCGCGCTGGGAGGCGCTCCGCCCTCTCGGCTCAGGTGCGCATTGAAACCACCCTGTACGCTCTCTTAAGACACCAGTGCCAGGCTCTGCCACGGACCAATTAAAACACAGTCTCCCGGAGTGAGGCCAGGGCATTAGCACTTAAAAAACTCTCTCCCTGTGATTCTAATTTGCTCCCGGGACCCAGAACCACTGCCCAACCACGCTTGAATTAATCAGACAGGTTGAGACTAGGTGCTCCCATCTGAACACTTGGGTTGGACCTCTTAACCCTTTTCTTTTTTAAACTTTTGATTATGGAAATTTCCAGATATATGCAGAAGTAGAGAGAACAGCATAATGAACCCCTATATAACCACCACCCAGCTTCAGTAATTACCCTGGAGGGTTCTATGCAGGGGAACGGCATGGTTTGACTTCAGTTTTAAGCAGGGCACTGGCTGTGGATAGGGAGCAGGTGGTCGAGAGGAACTGTGGAGGCAGGAAGGCCAGACCGGAGGCTGTTGCAGGGTCCAGCCAGAGACAATGGGCTTGGCCCGGCCTGGAGCAACAGTGCTGGGGAGGTGTGCTGTCCGTGCAGGGGGACCGGCCGGGCTTCCTGGTGGATGGGAGGCAGGGTGGACCATGATGAGGATGGGGCCAGACACTACCTTGTGCCTGGCACTAGGAGGTGTGAGTCCCGTTCTCCCCTCCCCCACCCTTTCCCATGCAGCAGCACTGTGTGGGGCTCACTCACCTGCTCCCGCTCCGCTGTCTTGCGAAGCTTATACACAAACTCGCCCACGGCCACCAGCACCGACAGCACCAGCCCGGCGGCCAGGACGATGAAGATGCCCCCGATCTTCTGGATCCCCAGGGCGCTGGCCTCTTTGTTCTCCTCCTCGGGACACCCGCTGCCCCGCCACCACTTCTCCTTCATGATGTGCAGCTTGTCCTCCTCCTGCAGCTGCAGGATGGCGATGGTGATCTTGTCCCGGTACGGGGAGCCTGTGTTGGGAAGAGGACACAGATGTCACAGGCATTCGGTCCATCCTGGGTGGCCCTGGTCGGTCGGTGTCGGCCCCCATCACCAGCCCTCTTGGTAAGCTCATGAACGGGGGCCTCTGTTTGTATATGGCATCTGGGTGGGAGGAAGGGTTGGTCCTCACCTGGGGTAGGGAGTCTTGCCTGTGAACCACTGTGTCTGGGGTCTCCTCAGGGGAGAGGCCAGGGAGGGAAGGCATGACCTCTGAACTGCCCCCCTCTGGGTTTGCCCCAGTTCTCTGCTCAGGCCAGGGCTGACCTCGGAGATATGTGGCTTCCCCCTTCATCTCTGGGCTGGGGTAATGCCACCTTTCTGGGCTCCGTGGGATGAGCTGGGAGCGGGGGCAGGAGACTGTGTGGGAGCAGATGTGGGGCCTTGCCCAGCCCAGCCCCAAGCTCCGCCTGCATCTCTCGCTCACCCATGGGCGTGCCGATGCCATAGCCCTTGGAGTCGATGAGGCCCCCGATCTGGGTGAGGTTGCAGTTCCTCTGGGTGACGTACTCGATGGTGGTGGACTCCATGAGCAGCGCGTAGTCGGCCGTCAGCGCCCTCTGGATGCCCTCCTCGTTGTTCTTCACCAGTGCCGAGGGCTTGCTGCTCATGAAGGCCCACATCTTCTCGAAGGTGGAGATCTTGGATTTCTGGGCCGAGGGGAGGGTGATATGACAGTTACTGAGCACACCAGAGACCTCGCCTGACGGGGCCTGGAGCATGGAACTGTCTACAGTCCTCAGAGAAAGGGAACGCCACCCACTGCTCCGATGTGGACACCAAGGCCCTGGAGGGTAGGTCCCCAAACACACAGCTGGTGAGTGATAAAGCCAAGGTGCAGAATCAGGCCGACCGAGCTGGACATGCTCGGCTCTTTGCCTTGGACAAGTGGTTTTGCAACGACTTTTAAAATATGAATTTTTCTCTAATATTTATTAAATAATTACATGTGCAGGCCCTGTTCTAAGTGCTTTACTGCCTTTATTCATTCAGTCGTCACAGCAATCATCGGAGGCAGGTGCGTTTGCCCATGTTACAGATGGGAAACTGAGGCGTGACTAAGTAACTTGCCTAAGGTCACTCAGATACTAAGTGGCAAAGCCAGGCTTGAAACCAGACCCTCTGGCTCCAGGGTCCATGCACCTAACCACTGAACTGCATACACTGCCTCACAGAAACCACTGAAGGCAAAGCTCTGTGGGTTCTGCCCCCCCCCCCACTTCAACCACAGTGGGCCCCTCTCATGGACTGTGTCTCAGGGGAAGATTTGGTCTAAGGTGAGGGTTCCTGTTTGTTCTACTTCATTACAGGGAGAGAGAAGCAGGGTGAGAATTGCAGAATGGGGCGAGAAGGGGGGCCATCAGAGCAGGTGTCTGCAGGCCCCCGATCCCCTTATCCCCAGAGCATCCTGGGCTAGATGCTGCTGCATGAATACAACCAGCCCCTAAGACCAGGCCTGGTGGGTGGGCTGCTGGGCACTGGGGCCGGGACAGGAGGTGACACCCAGTGTCCCCTGCTGCCGAGGAGGCTGGCAGACGAGGGTGCATGGTCTTCCTGCGATTTCTTGGGAACTTAGTGCCTGCCAGCTGCCTGCTTCCAGCAGGGGTCGGCCCTGCCCTGCTGATCCCAGGGGAGCAGGTGGCTCTGCAGGCCCTTTGCACCTGGCAGTTTCCAGGTCTGGCTGTGCGTGTCTGTGATGTCAGCCTGTCTGACTGGCGCCCAGCCCAGCTCCGGTGTGCATGATGGCATGGGTGTGCTCAAACAGGCTGGCGCAGGGCTTGGGGATGGGCAGGAGATGGGGAAGAAACTGTCTGCAGGAGCCGGGGCAATGGGGGTGGGGAGAGGCTGGGAGGAAAGTGTACCTCTGAAACTGGCTCCTGGCACGCCAGGAGGAAGAAAGGCCCCCAAAGCAGCAGGCAGGACCCCATTTGGACTTCTATCTGAACCCTAATTCTGTCCAGTACCAGTGATAGCTCCTTTGGGCACAGGGTCTGGGGGCACCATCACAGACAAGCAGCCCCTCCCCCACCTGCAAATTTATCTGCCCCTGAAGTCAAAGGCCTGGAAGGGCTCAGATGCCTAGAGCTTCAATGGTTTCCACCAGAGCAGCAAGCTGGCTGCTCCAGCTCCTCTCTAGTCCTACCCAGCCCTCTTCCTGCTCTCCAGCTACTCCACCTCCTTAGTTACTCTCTTACCTCCAAACCTTCTGTGCTCTCCAGCTAGTCCATCCTCCCAGCTATTCCTCCACCTCAGCTTCTCCTGCAGCCCCAGTGCCCCTCCCCCAGCTCCTATTGCCCTTAAAAACATCCCCAATTTCCAGCTCTTCTGACTCCCCAAACACTTCTTATTTTCCAGATAATTTATGATATCCAGACATTCCCCTACCTCCAGCTTCTTATCCCGCAGGTCCTTTCTCATGGCGCTTTTCCTGCTCAGGTTCTCTGTGGCAGGAAGTTTCTGTATGGCCCCGGTGATCCCCAGCCCTGGGACTCACGCCCTTGCGTAACCCCCAACCCCTGCAGGTGGGCTGGATATAGAGACTTACTTTTAACTTCTCCCAGTAGCTACAGGATGTATGCTGGAGATTAGGTTATTGAGACTGAACCATCATCTTTTTGTTTTTAAATCCTCACCCAAGGATATTTTTTTACTTATCTTCAGATAGAGGGAGAGGGAGGGAGAGAAAGCGAGAGGGAAAGAGAGAGAAACGTCGATATGAGAGGGACACATCGACTGGCTGCCTCCTGCACGACCTTGACCAGGGCTGGGGACAAACCGCAACCAGGGTATGTACCTTTGATTAGAAATACCCGTGACTCATTGGTCCATGGGCTGACGCTCTAACTGCTGAGCAAAACCAGCCAGGGTCTGAACTACCATCTTGCTTGTGCTCTCGCTTGTTGCCCTGATGGAAGCCGGCGGCCATGCATGAGTCACCCCATGGAGAGGCCCACGCGGCAATGAAGGGCAGCCTCTAGCTAATGGTCAGTGGAGAACGGATAACTTCAGTCCAAGAGGCAAAGAAGAACTGAATCCTGCCAACAGCCACGTGGGAGAGTTAGCAAGCGAGCCCTGGGATGATACAGCACTATCTGACCCCTTGCATGGAGCCTGTGAGACAACCCGTCAAGAGGGCCCTGTCCACCTGTGCTGAGTCCTGACCCACAGGCTGTGAGATCATAAATGTTGTTTTACTACACTAAGTTCTGGGTAATTTGTTACACAGCCATAGATAACTGATACACTCTCTCACACACATACTCACAAAGCTATTTCTGTTCCCAAACATAGTTGCTTTTTCAGATAATCAATGATAACTATTCCCTTAATCAGATTATCCGAGTCCTATCATTCCTGCTTACCAGATACACGTGCTCCTCAGATACTCCACCCACCTGGGTGTGGTAACTAAATACTATTCTCCTTCAGTGACTTCAGCAGTTCAATTTCTTTTCCATCCTAGTCTCTCCTGCTTTCCAAATTCTCCTTCTACCAGAGCTGGGAACCAGGGGTTGATGAGGCCGCCAGGCCTCCTTTTACACCTCTGATACATGCATGCGACCCATCCATCCGTCCGTCCGTCCATCCGTCTGTCTGTCCAGCATCCCCTTATCCGTCATGTTCATGTTCTCACCCATTCACTCACTCATTATCTATGCACCAATTTGTTCAACTAACTAGCCAACCATCCACCTAGCCTTTTACTTATTTATCCATCCATTCATACATCTAGCCAACCATCTGTCCATCCACCCACCCTCTTACCCCTCTACTGGTCACCCAACCATCCACCCACCTCTCCACCTCATCCATCTTACCCACTCCCTCTCCCATGCACACAGTCAGCCATTGGTAAAATCTTGAGCCTGGTGTCAGTAACCTGACAATGAACCATCTGGGGAGCCCTGCCCCACTCCTTCTGATCAGAATATGATAAGAGCTTCTCCTTATTCTGAAAAGTCCTCCCTGCACCCTCCCCCCAACGCCCCATTCCTTCTGTACACATGCTTGCCTGGCATCAAGACACACGCTCTTTCCAGTAACTACACCACAAAAGGAGAAGTCATTTCCACTGGGGGCTTGAGGGAATGTTGAGGGGACAGGCTTCAAGGAGAGACACGTGAAAGCCATAGTGGATAAAGGAACAGAATGAGGAGGAGGGGAGAGGGCCCCAGGGAGCTTGGGCCAGTGGAGATGAGAGGCGAGAATACGGCAGGAAGCGGCCGTGATGCTGGTTCCAAGAGGCTCTCTGTCAAACTCACCACCTTGATCACCTTTAGGTGGAGGGTCTGAAGTCTGCGTCCCAAGAATGGCCACCCACTGTGCTGGTCCTCTACCTTGGGCCCCCATTCACAAACACATCCACTCACGGTCTCTGTCCTTATTCTGTGATTCTGGGCGTGTCCCCGAAAAGCTTCCCTCTAGCATGTTGGAGACAAGGAGGGATACATCTAGGATCCCTCCTGGAACCTCGGGCCTCTCTCCCATCTCCCTGGACCTGGCCACCAGAGGCCTGAGTTCCTATCACTGGCCTGAGCTATCGTCACCATCCTGGGGAACTGTCTCACATACCTATGGCTCCTGAGTCATCCTGCCTGTCCCAGCTCTGTTGGGAACCTTAATAAGCATTGCTTCAGGGCCAGTCACCCAAATCAATTAATGGGATTGTTTGGAACAGCCACACAGGGAGATGTGCCAAGATGAAGAGACATTTTTATCAGTAAAATTGGCAAGAAAGTAAGTTTCAGGCTCACGACTTTCAATTCCAGCCTCCTCAAAGAAGTAAATTGATTTTCCCCAACTGAAGATACTTAATCTTGAGAATTTAACATTTCTTTACAAGAAAATGTATGTAGGAATATATATACATATGAATATATATCAATTCCGAAGGGAGCTGAACCCTGGGGGGCGTGTGCAGGAGACAGTGGCAATGTGATTCCGTGGAGACCGGGGGGATTTTCCAGGTTAGAGAGGAGACCTTTCCCGAAGTAACTGGCTTTCTTATTCCTGGGTGTGGAGTCTTCGGCTTTATTAGATTCCCATACTTGAGCAGTTAATCATGTCTCTTGGCTTATTCCTGTGGGGACCAGGAGGTCTCCCTAAATCCACTGCTTCTGCCTGCCTGGCCAGGACAGACTGGCTGACCCTCCAGCCTGGCAGCAGCCCCTGACGGGGGAGTCAGGAGGTGAGGGCTGCAGGCAGGGGTGGAGGCTGTGGTGGGAGGGGTGGGCTCCACTGCATGAACTCTGGTTTTAAAGGCCAGCTCCTTCTGCAACCACAGGCAAGTGACATCGCATCTCTGAGCCTCACTTTGCACATCTGTGAAATGGGGGTTAGCTCAGCACAGAGTCTGGCCCATGAAGCACTCAGTAAAGTGCTCAATAAAGAGAAATAAGTCATTATTTCTCTTTAAGACCCTTTAATTCTCTTTAAGCTCAGTTTTCTCACGTAGAGATTGGGGATGCTAATTTCTGTAGTGCGGAGTCGCTGTAGGTTATGCCACCGTAACAAGAATGCTGAGCGGGATTTTCGATAAACTGGAGAGAGCCAGCTAATTGTTGCTTTGTGGAAGAGCCAGCTTCGTGGTGCTCCGTCTTTCACATTTTTCAAGAAAATGTGAATTTTTTAAAGGCAGACATCTCCCACT